GTGCAAAATTCGAAGATCCTGACACCCGTACACAAATACCTGTACACCTTGTGCTTGGGGCTAGTGATTATGCCAAAATTAAAACCACTACGGCTCAAAAGGTGGGGAAGCCGGGGCAGCCGGTGGCAGAGAAAACCCTCCTTGGTTGGACGGTCTCCAGTATGTGTCCTTTTATGTGTCCTTAAATTGCCCATTTGAGAAAATCTTTTGTTGCAAACATCACATCTATAAGGTTTGTCTCCAGTATGTGTCCTTTTATGTGTCCTTAAATTGTCCATTTGAGAAAATCTTTTGTTGCAAACATCACATTCATAAGGTTTATCTTCACTATGTGTTATTTTATGTGTCCTTAAATTGCCCATTTGAGAAAATCGTTTCTAGCAAACATCACATTCATAAGGTTTGTCTTCAGTGTGTTTTCTTTCATGCCTTGTCAAAATGCTTCTGTATGGAAATATCTTGTAACAGAACTCACATTTCACAGCCATGGCTTTTCTCTGACACCGTCGCTCGTGCGGCCAAACTAAGATACAAAATGTCACCCAATTGAAGCCTTGAATCTTTGCTTTCTAAATCTTTATAATACTTTTCTTATATCAGAGTTATTTTGACATGAAAACGAGCAAAATAAAGTCACGCTTCGGAACACATGTATTAAATATGGCATGAAATGTGGATTGGGCGGAAGCTAGTGCTTCCATTTTCAAAAAACATAATTTCCTTCTAACCGTTCAAAATTTCCTTATTTTTGAAAAAATTTCCTTGCAATAAAAATTATTGAATTTTACCTAATTTAAAACTGATTTTATAGTAATTTATCTCGAATAACAGGGTATTTCTTGTTCTAGAAGGAACATAGACGTTACAGGGGCTGATTTATCAAAGGGGAGAGACAAAGAGTTTACATAGATTAACACGAAGGAGAATAACCAGAGGGGTCTGGGGGTCCTCCCCCAGAAAATTTTCAGATTTTGCATCTCGCAGGACAGGATTTTCAGCATATTTTGAAGCACATTTCCTTGGCAATTGCCGTATTCTTAGTTTTTTTTAGAAATAAGGCAATTTCCTTCACATTTCCTTCAATCTTCCGAAATTTCCTTCAAATTTCCTTCAGATTCGAATTTCCTTATAATTTCCTTCAACTACTTAAAATTTCCTTCAAAAAGGAAATTTCCTTCAAAATGGAAGCCCTGGCGGAAGCCTTGAAGTCGTGCTTCCACAACGCAAAAGCAAATTCTCGAAGTGTGGGACAATCCTAACCTGCGAACGGGCATGCTCTACTACTCGATACAGCCCGGTTAGGGACAATCTCGTTCCCCGAGCCTGCGATCCTTGGGAAGGAACGTGAGGCTCTGGGATAATCCGTTTCAGGGAGGAATCTGATTGGCCGTTGATATGGAATGCACAGTTCGGTCTTAGCCAGGATTCCTGGCTTCCGGCAACGGCTTTTGCCAACAATTTTCGGGAAAAAAAATTTTAATATTGAGCTATTGTTCACTGCGCCTGGTTAGGGCTATTTCAGATCCAATCTCGTTCCCCGAGCCTGCGATCCACTGGGAAGGAACGTGAGGCTCTGGGATAATCCGTTTCCGGAAGAATCCTGGCTAAGATTGAACTGCGCATTCCATATCAACGGCCAATCAGATTCCTCCCTGAAACGGATTATCCCAGAGCCTCACGTTCCTTCCCGAGGATCGCAGGTTCGGGGAGTCGGTAAAGTGAGCTAGCTCAGGTACCTAGGCTGACTCACCTCCATATAATCACCCCCTACTAAGAAAGTTTTAATAGAACTGGGCCTGAACATTCAAAGACTCCAGCCAAAATCTTTTGACATGTCATGCTGAAACTCCAGTGCAGATGCTACAATTAAAAGTGCCCCACTGCATAAATCTGCCTTGCCTTGTTGTCGTTTTAGCTGGCATCCCTGCATATATGACATGGCTCTTTAGCTAAAAATAGCTTATATATTTTATCTAGTGGCGACAAAAGGTGTCCCTTGGATGATACTGAACTGTCACTTCAAAACATTTTCCAAGACGTTTTTTGCAATCGGCAAATCTTGCAATTACAATGTTTCTGCACAAATAAAAATCTTGGCTGTGAGTGGACTGGTCAGTTGAGAGTTCTGGAGGTATTTATGTACTTTCATTTCATTTCAAGCACATATTAAACATATGCTACTGCAATTTATTATACAAGCTGTATGAAAAAGGGTAATCTAATCTTGGCATGTTATGCATAAGGCGTAACCGGGGAGATGCAAAATTCTCAGGAAATTAAGCTGCATACTATCATCATTGAAACATTTGTCAATGAGACATTTCCAAACAGAATAAGTCAACTTTTTGTCAACTTTATTTAGGAGCATCATAAAGACTGCCTTTTCAATGAAGCAAGATGTCCTGTTGAAGGATGTAATGAAAATATGCTGAAGAGATTTCTTGGGGGACATGTGCAAGAAGAGTGCATGTTTCAGAAGCAACCACGGTCATTCATGGAGGTTTCTTTTTAATTAATATTGAGATGGTATTATTGATGGTTTGCGTAAACTTGGATACGATAAAATTGTGGGCAATAAGCGAAGAGTTGTCGAAGCTTATAGGTCGAGATGTCCTTTATATTAAATAACTTATACGATACTATACTATAAACTGCACAACACACACTGAAGTATTAAAATGTCACGGCAAACTTCATGATCACACGAAATTATGATACAGTCAGGGATATTTTGTCAGGTCCCTGTATATTACCACCACTCCTGTTGCACTAACTTGATTTTGTTCACGAACAGTTTCAAGTTTCATGCCGACTAAATCACATCGCTCAACAGGTGACGCTGTGCATTTAATATATCAGTGATTTATATTTACTTTTATTTAATAATTTGCCCAAATATATCAACTATTTACAATAATAATTACGAATATTATATTACAGAGGGCTAGAGGCCATTGGAAACCTGTATAGGCTTTTATGCATGACCCCTAGTTTTATCTACTTAGAGTCTTAGTTATAGATGAATAGCATTAAGAAAGTTTGTTAACCCCAATTATAATGATAAGGACAGGATCATAGATATCTTATATACACTAGATAGTGCATCTAATTATTCTACAATTCAAAAATTGAAGCTGTGATTGCAGGCTCAGGATATTCCCATGAAATGAGAAGACTCGTATGTTTTCTATTTCTTAAACAGGGAACTTAAACATTAAGTTAAACCTATTCGAAATACATTTTCAAACTATTCAAGTGATAAAAGTTATTGTTGTTTTTTAAGCGTTTATTAGCGAGTGGGAAACTCCAACATGGCCGCCATCTATTCAAATGGGGGTAACCGCTGGAATATTCTTGGCTCAGTCAATTTTACGAAAAGAGATGCGCTATCTAGTGTATATAAGATATCGAAAACATACAATAACTAAGATTTAAAGTTTGTATAATATAATAAGCATAGTATTAATAGTATTATACAAGCCATGCAAACGGACTATTGGCTATGCGTAGGTGTTTAGTGCAATAGATGATATTTAGTATGTAAATCACATTTACCGATGGCATGCCTGAACTCATGCATTTAACACAGACTGATTTTGTATCATTGTCTATATATCAAACAGTGTTTATCAAAACTGCGTGTCTTCACATGCATTCACTTATTCTTAATATGGCCAAAAATTAGGCCAGCTAGTACATATAAGATAAGCGTACGTAACAGAAAAATATAAGAAAAATGCCGATCCCTATTTTGTTTCTCAGTATCTTTATATGCACTATATGCTTAGAGATCTGGATCTATTATAGTTCATGCTTGTGTTGATGTCGGAGGTAATGTCGATGCGTATTTCATTGCATCTGTATGTTTTACCGTTTTCTGTGTCATACAAGCTAAGCCCTTTACTGGCGATAGTCAACGCTGTTTCTGTCGAGATTTCTGTCGGCTGTTCTGAAACAATCTTTGGAGCACGATTCAAATTTGACCATATATTGTAATGGCAGTACACTCTGATAAGTGTCTTGATAACGAGTCCAATTTCGTGTGGGTTGTATGCAAACAATACTACGCGAAGAACAACGAACATACAACTGGACACAAATTGAGAAAGCTTAATTCTTCGTTCTGAAAGGCTCGATCCATTTTTTAATTGAGGATAATGTAGATGATATATTTCCAATAGTGAAGGAATGTAGAACATGATAACAGCCAAGCAAATCATGATTTGCAGCCACACAGGATTTTTTAAATTCAATTGTGTTTCTGACATCTCAATACCGTCGTAGATATCTATTATCGCTGGGCAATATGGCAAAATAACTTCCACTTTATCAAACACAAGTCCAGGCAACATTATTTGTAGTGGTAAAATCGACATTGCTATGGTATTTGAAATTCTGACATCAGTTGAGTAGAGTCTTTCAATAATGGCTACATATCCACTGAAGATTGTATAGAAAATGAGCCATGCGAAATTGAACAACAGGTAGCAATGGTCCACTTTGCTGAACATGTTACCGACAAGTTTTTTTGCCTGAATTTGTGTGAAATATGCCGCTGGTACAACCAGAATAATCAGACATAAAATCAATGGTAGAATTATGTTCATCAAATCTTCCATCACAAGCTGGTAGAGCAAGAACAGGACAGTACCATGATAGACGAAGAGTACGAGCATGGATGCAAGGTAAAAGATAGGAACAATTAAATCATATTTCATCGACATTATTCCTTTTGTATACTGTACTTCAGCTATGTTGTATTCAGACTTGCCCAAATGTTTATCAGTATTATTCAATATAAAATTCCGCATTTATATCGTTTTCCATTGACGCCATTCAAGGGACTTTCCCAGCTTCAAACAATGCTTCTGGTCGCAGGCGCTGATTGGTCAAATTTATCTACTTTAGTAAGACGATAGCCATCAACGCATGAATAGACATAGTTAAATTTGAGAAGAATGTCCCATTGCGGGACAAACACAACAAAATTTGTGTGATCACACGCGTTAAAAAGATTGTTATATTTTTTGTGGTTTTGTTGCTAGTACTTCTAGTACTTCTTGTCGACTTGTGAAGGTTTTTTTGGCTGCTAGTGCGGCCGTACTGTTTTCTGTTTTCCTTATCCAAAAGCTGACATCACTAGCTTTGGAACAAGGCTGCTACTTGGCAAGGAAAAATTGTCAATTTTAGCGCGTGCATATGAACAACTAAAACTTTGTCAAGCCGAGGAAAACTTGTCAAGGAAACATGCATTGCCCATCTGTACGGGTCTCAAGATACAGTTTGGCAAATGAAAAAAGGTATGACATGTATAACTTAAATATTACATGGCGAGAAATTGTGGACATTAGGGGGCGGAGCTTAAGTATAATATATTCTGCGTTCATAAATGTCTTGCTTTCCATCAGGGACTTATATCGCTTTTTTAACCACTGAGGAATATTTATTGGATGGTTAAACCTCCATTCATAAGAAGTTTTAGCTAGTCGGGGCAAACAGAAACGCTAGGCAGCCTAAACGTTGCAGTGTTTATATGTTTTGCCTGATTGGCCCATCTGACCTTTGCGCAAAAAATTATAGCCTATACCCACTTTTACCCGCATGTGAAGTCTTACCGACAATGTTTACGAATATATAATATTTTGTTGCCTAGAAACTAAGGCATGGTTACAAAGCTCTTCTTCTGCAGAGAGCATACACAATGGAGGCATATTTCGAAGAAGAACCGACCAGTTTGGGTTGATTTATGTTCACATTTTAGGCAAGTTTCAGTGCGCGGTGTCGAATTTCACGGTTAAAATACATCGAGATTGCACTAGAATTATGTTAAAATACCGAACCAGATATTAATCGCAGAGATTTGACATGAATTGTCCCTAGAAGCACAGTGTATTGACAAGCCAAAAGAGATGCGACATCTTGCGTCCGTAGCTCACAAGAGTAAGAGAAGAGGAAGAGAAAGAAGAAGAATTCCAAGATGGCGGAACGTAAGCATTCTTCGAGCTCCGTGGTTGAGATTGATAATATAAGTAATTCTAAACAATTACAAGCCGAAAACCAAAATATAATGAAGCTATGCCAAATGTTGAGTAAAAGCGAGAATTTTCTCTGGAGTGGAAGTAATATCCAACTTAAACGGTTTGTCGACGAAGCGTTGCTTCTCAGTGGTAAATGGACATCGCCGGGTGGAGATACTAAGCAATTTACCAACGAAAGTGTCATCATAAATTGGCATGGACCATGCTCAAGAAAGCTATCAGTTATTAAAGATGATAATTCCTCGGTCGTTGATGCCTTAAGGTTACAGAACACTTTTGAGTGTAGCCTGCAAACAGGCTCACTGGGAGAAAGGTGAGCCTGCACGGAACCATGCGTTTTATTCAATCATCCCCTTTTCGCATCTGCTAAACGCGAACCAATCAGCGTCGACTGCGATAAATAAACTGTCAACTGTCAAATTGACGCAAGGCGTGTACATTGTGCAACGAAGAAATACAGTACTGAATATTAAAATGTATACATAATGTATATATGAACAATAGTACAAAGCATTAGCGGGCCGCACAATATATAGCCTGCTCACAGGCTCTATATACACAGGCTCTATTATATAGAGCCTGCGACTCAACCTCGTCCCCAGGGTCTTCCTCGTGGTGGCGCGTGAGCTGAGGAAGACCCTGGTAAAATACGATGAAATCTCCAAGATTCTTGGAGATTTATCGCATGCGCAGTAACGACAACGTTATGTTGCTGACTACAATTAGCGCTGGCGCTTACGATTTTCTTCCTTGAAAATATACATGTTTTGTTGATAGTTTATGGATTTATTCTCAAAGTTTTAACAACTTTTACGAAAAATACTTCAGATATAAGCTGTGAACACACATGTACACAAAACTGTGCAACATTCATCATCATATTGTATCAATTTGTCGGAGTATGGCGCTCAAATTTGTGACATTGTTTTGTTCGCTTTGGCAACCCTCGTATATAGCAGATGCTGTTCGGCCTCAAATGCGACTGAATAAACACTGATAGTGTTGCCTGGAATATAAAAAAAATACTGACTTATTGTTCTCTATATCAAGGTATGTAATGTACATATATACTGAATTTATTCGATTTTTTTTACACGTTGCTTTCACATTTCCTCAGAGTCTCGGAAATCACATTTTCTAATAAACTCAGTTTCACACATACAGCAAGACTTCATTTCACACATACAGAAAGACTTCTTCAGAAATCACAGTTTTTAACATATACAAAAACTTCATATCATCTCATCAGTTAATCAAATTATGATAACAGTACGTAGTAATGC